CGCTCTCTTGATCAAAATCAACTAAATGATACTAACATTAGTAACAAGCTCGGTTTTCTTTGGATGCTGGAACCTACAGTTTGAAAGCCACCAGTGTGATCAAATGTACCTGTCGGGCTTCGGTCATGAATTTCGTTAGCCGAGAGCCGAGTGGTGGTCCTTCACAGTCATGACCTGTGTTTTCAATATCAAGTAAATAATCATTCATGTTGGTATTTCTGAATGAACCATGACTGTTTTTCGGTGGGCAATAGAGTTGAACATAATGAAAACACATAATGAAACACTTACCGCTATATATTCAAGGAAACCTCTACTCCGATGGCCCAGCTTGTGATCAGGTTGCGTTGTCTGCTCAAAGAATCAGAGTGCCCTCTGGGAAAAGCTAACACTTTGGAGTAACGTTCCTTGAATAAAATTTCTGCGATGCTACCCGACGTTGGGCCAACGTAATAATCTGACAGTGACTTTGCCAACCATTGCCAACGTTGGGCCAATGTCGGAATGCTATCTGGGATATTGTTAGATTTTATTTAATTATTATGATAACATTTGAAGTCTAATTCATCTGCCAGTGGTAAAAATGTCAGGACTGAAACAAAACAAGGTCAATAAACCACCCTCTTAAAATAGCACTAAATCCTACCTACCCTCTACTGCAACTACACTAATATCAGTGATAAATCTACAAATTCAACTGCCTGAGTCCCGGGACTCACTGAGCTGAATAACTATGAGTCCCTCAGAACTTTTATGAGTCCCTAACAAAAATTAATGCCACAAATATTATTCAAACTGGTTTATTGTTACTATAGGTTGCACAGGTGAGTCTGACCGGTCTGGGATATTTCACAGAAATGAGCTGGTAGTACCTAAATCGTAACAAATGGAGACTCTTCCATTTTAACTTGTAGTTCATACCCTATCACATCTAGCACAGATGTTACAGATCACTGGCACTGTTTGGAGAATCATAGTTGATTTTACCTTCCTTGAAAATTTCAATGTCTACGTTTTCAAATTAACAAAAAATGTGCAGTTGCAACCTGGAAATCATCACAAAGTTTTGGAGCCTGAATGGACAGTTTATTATCATTATGATGAGATGTCTGGTCCAAGTTTTATTTTTAGAAGTTCTGCATTTAGCATCTTGTGTCATACCATTTTCTTTACCATTTTCAGTACACAGTTTACAAAATATTAAATCACCTTCCCTGTCATAAGTCAGCCATAACCGATGAGTATTCGGCCAACCTGACTGAAATGTCCTAACTTTGTGTTTTCTGACAGTTTTCCTGGGCAGAGCATTCTCTCGATTCCCTTAAATCTCAGTTTTGTGAACTTAACAGCCTTAGTATCTATCTGGTTGGCATGTCGACTGCTATATTATACAAAAGTTACCAGACCGGCTGGAAAGTTACCAGTCCAGAATTTTCAGGATTAAGATAATATATAAAGGAGGTAAATAGGAGGAGGGAACTGTTTAATATCAGGTTATTGTCACAATAACACGTTTTTAAATGTTTTTAGTCATTATATACATTACAAAATTACGCTGATTCAACAACCAGACCATCGGCCGTGCAACTTTTTAAAAATGACCGTCTGGTCGCAAAACAGACCGTCCCGGACGGTCGGGCAGGCGGGAGTTTGCAACGCTGATATATGTCTTATATCTATCTATGTATATTTCAGGTCAGACACTTACACTACAAGTTTCTTCATCCTCAGTACAATATTGTCACAGTCCACCTGTACAATTACATATATCACTGTACCTAAGGTGATGCTGGTAACACACGTTACCGTCATCACAACATGGCTGCAGACAAGATCGCTTGGCGAATATTCCCTTCGAATTAGCGGTCTTCCACGTGTATAAAATCAACATTATTTAGCACACTGATAAACTTTGATGGTGTGAATACATTGAATGCACTGAATTTGCTTATTAATGTAAATGTGTTGAAGAATAAGCATTTTTAAGATCTTGCGAGGATGTCGGTAACTCAAAAATCTGGATATTGGTAACGTGCAATGAATGATGCTGGTAACAGGTACTGTCCTGCTTTATTCGGTATAAACAGAAATTGTCGGTAAACAGATATACAAAGGAGATACTAATATCTGTTCTTATGTTTTACACAGATGTGTACTGCTCCTACATTAACAGCATGAGCAACTTTTTCTGTGCATCGGAGACTTGTTGCTTGCCTTGAAGCAGGGTGTGTTTAATCACACTATTTATGTCATGTTTCATTGAACTTGAACGGATTTAGATGTGTGTGCCCATTGTCCATTACGCTGAGAGCTTTTTCTCTGTCCCTCCTCAATTCGGACATTTGACATGTTGATTTCGTTGCAATGTTGACGTTTAAAGTACATTTTACAGCGTGCATTTATTGGGTAGGGCTGAATATATAAAGCTATATAGTCTGTCAATCTAACTTTCGGGACTGCATATTTTGCACCTGTCAGACATTACATCAATTGAACCCTTGCCCAGATTGAGTTGATCAAAACAATCACAAATAAATAAAGATATACACATGGAACTTAATTAAGCACCTCCCCCCTCCCTCCCCCCAACATATTTTAAGTTACTGACTTACCTAATGATAAATCTTGAATTTTAACAATGACTATTATTTGAACTGTATTTCAATATTTAAGGGTTTTGCTATATCAATCGTCAAAACACATCTCAATATACAGTTGAAGCACACTACCCACAATTGTCTCAAAAAGCACTATTAACATCAATGCAGCTAACTGTATAAAACGCCCAAACTTCTTAAGGATTTTACCAGTATCTTTTTCAATGGCACGAAGGAGACTACCAGAAGTAAGAAGATGGCAAATTATTGGAATGCACGACACCGGAATGTCATGCAGGGCTATTGAGCGACAGCTTGACATTCACCACACTGTCATAAGTCGAAAACACTGTCAAACCAACAAGGTTAAGGACTGACCAAGGTCAGGTCAACCCCCAAAGAAGAGAGTTAGATAGATAGATAGATAGATAGTAATAACTGTATAATAACTGATGGAAAAGAAATACGAAATTAACTAAAACTTTTTTATGAGACATTATACGCTGAGCAAACTGAAACTGACCATGAGATGGCAGAAAACATACTAGAAACAACAGATACTCTGGAAATGAAAAAAGATTTATTTGATATACTTGAAAAGCCAATTACGGGATCGGGATTTAGCAAGGGACATTCTGGATCCTATATAAGACGAGTATATGGATGACAACTTCTTGTTTATTGTATAACACAACGTTTCTGGAGTACTTCTTGCCCCTTCTTCAGGTGATTAAAGACAGATGTAGAAAGCAAACTATATATATATACCGATTTACAGAAAGCCCGATGTATACAATCAATCACAGAGATCAAGATCAGTTATAACAACAGTAATAATTGGGATAAGGTAAAGACAGTTGACACAAATAATGAGGATGAAATATGTGGATACAGCAGATATACAGCTAATTAAGTGACAATTAGATTTACAGGAAGTCAGAGATGTATATGCAATCAATCAATGAGGCCAGATCAAAAAGAAGTTATAAAAATAATGGGATAATGTAAAGCCAGTTGACACAAACAATGAGCATAAGGAGATGTGAACACAGCAGAGTGATGATAAGTGACAATAGAGGTGGGTGTGGTTCAGCTTTTGTGATGTTCCAGGCACTTGGGAGGTATACGCCTTGATCTCTATTAATCTCAGGGGTTAATCTCCTGATGGTGATGGCTTCTAGTATTTTCTGTTTTCGCCAATCGTGAACATTGATAGCCAAGATGCTAGTCTGTTGCCAGTCAATAGAGTGGGTGGGGTTGTTGATTATAGGCTCTGAAAGGGCAGATTTGTGGTCGGCTTTTACAACAGATGTTTTGTGTTCTTTGAGTCAAAGGGGTGTGATGTCTATCCGCTGTAGCTACTGCATCCAAAAACTCTGTAAAGACAAAACCATAACCATCCCCGAAGCAGACTGACTGACTGAGTTTGGTTTTACGCTGCTTTTAGCAATATTTCAGCAACATCACGGCAGGGACAGCAGAAATGGGCTTCACACATTGTACCCAAGTGGGGATTCGAACCCAGGTCTTCGGCAGGACGAGCCAATCCTTTAACCTACCTAGCCTAGTGGTCAGACTGGTCAGACACTGTCACTACAAGGTTCTTCATCCTCCGTACAGGATTGTGACAGTCCACCTGTACAGTTACATATATGTCTTATATCTATCTATGTATATTTCAGGTCAGACACTGTCACTACAAGGTTCGTCATGCTCTGTACAGGATTGTGACAGTCCACCTGTACAGTTACATATATGTCTTACATCTATCTATGTATATTTCAGGTCAGACACTGTCACTACAAGGTTCTACATCCTCAGTACAGGATTGTGACAGTCCACCTGTACAGTTACATATATGTCTTACATCTATCTATGTATATTTCAGGTCAGACACTGTCACTACAAGGTTCTTCATCCTCAGTACAGGATTGTGACAGTCCACCTGTACAGTTACATATATGTCTTACATCTATCTATGTATATTTCAGGTCAGACACTGTCACTACAAGGTTCTTCATCCTCAGTACAGGATTGTGACAGTCCACCTGTACAGTTACATATATGTCTTATATCTACCTATGTATATTTCAGGTCAGACACTGTCACTACAAGGTTCTTTATTCTCAGTACAGGATTGTGACAGTCTACCTGTACAGTCTCATATATGTCTTATATCTATCTATGTATATTTCAGGTCAGACACTGTCACTATAAGGTTCTTCATCCTCCGTACATGATTGTGACAGTCCACCTGTACAGTTACATATATGTCTTACATCTATCTATGTATATTTCAGGTCAGACACTGTCACTACAAGGTTCTTCATCCTCAGTACAGGATTGTGACAGTCCACCTGTACAGTTACATATATGTCTTACATCTGTCCATGTATATTTCAGGTCAGACAGTGTCACTACAAGGTTCTTCATCTTCAGTGCTACTGGGTGACAGCTTCCAGTTGACCTGCACAGTGACTGGAGGCGGCCCTCTACAAGGAACACTGAGCTTCCAGCGGGGAGCAGGAGCAACACCATACAGGCCATGTATTGTCAACTCTAGAACCTGTGCACAGTTCACTGGTGATCCTGGCTACTCATGTGGATGTGTGACTGGACAGACAAGGATATTCTACACAAACATCACAGCTGTCAGTAGAAATGATAGCAATAACTGGACATGTCAGGACAGTAACAGCATCAGTAACACCATCAGTGTTGATTTTTCCTTATCCTGACTCATGCTTAATTGCTTGTCTTCCTCCTCTTGCGAACATAGTGGAACACTTGTATCTCCTTATTGAAGATCCTTCAATAAAAGCATACGTAAAATCACTAATCACTACTCACCAAGAGTTATCCTTCTTTGCTGTTTTGGCGGGAAACTGGCGCCACTGTTCCCCACATGCTTCACTCTCTCCTTCTTCGCCCAGTGAGCAGGTTGTGAGAGTGCCTGTGTCTCCTTTACGGTACTATATCCTTTTATTACTTAGTTAGTTACCTTTATTATACTATTATAGAGGTTTAGCTAATATCCTTCAACAATATGGTTTAATATTTAATCGTATTTAGCACTGTTTATTCACGGTGTAGTCCGTTGTTTACGTTCATGAAAAACTGTTCCAAATGTAGATTACATTTCTCTGCTGCTGACCCTCATCAATTGTGCCCTAGCTGCACAATACCATGTTCTTTCAGCTCATGCTGCAATTATTGCAAGCAATTAACTACTTGTGCATTTAATAAATACATTGTTTGCGTCCTTAGACGTGCTGCGGATAGGTCGAGAAGGGTTGATCCAGTCATGGATAATTCAGCTGAGTCCCTCACCAGTCAACTGCTGTCTGACGACCCCCTACCGTCTGGTGTTCCGCTGGAGTTTCCCTCGGAGGAGGGGCGTGGGACGAAGTCCGCCATCTCCAAGAAGAGACCTGCTACTCCAGACATCCCGTCGTCGCAGCCTAAGACTCGGAAATCATCAACCACCCAGCGCAGACTCCGCACCCCCAGGGCATCGTCCACCACCAAGGGAAGTCAGCGCAGACAACCCGGACTTTCTCGGCCGAGATTGTCCCCTTGACGGAACAGGGACTATATGATGATCAGCCGATCATCATCCCAGAGGTTCATCGCAAGAAAAGACCGGTCTCAGCTACGGTGACTTCAGCGCAGATCTCTACTCAACCCGAGGTATCAACGCTGACAACAGATGACCGTCCAGTGGGCCCCGTCGCTATCACCGCAGAAAGGGCAGCGCCATTACCACCGCAGACCTTCAAACCCAGGCGACTTCATGCAGCAGTTCTCCCAACAGATCATGGAGATGATGGAGCACCGTTACGGCCTGGAAAAGAAGTCACAGCCAGCCCAGGTCCCAGCCCTGGCCTTCGCTAAGGCTCCAATGCAGACGTCATCTCTGATGGGCCCGCCATCAACGTGACTTCTGCCAGCAGAACTACACTCCCGGACCAGCCTGCGCGAAGGTTGACGCAACCATCCCCTGCGGAGGACTCGGACGATCATCATCCGCGGAGGCGTTCGCAAAGGACGGCACGGTCTTCACCTGCTTCGGACTCGGACGATCAACGTTCGCGAAGCGTTATGGGAGGAATCGCTCATCCCCGACTCTGGATCGGACAACCAGCCTTCGCTTCTGGGACCAGTCGCCAATCCCCAGATGCGGACTCAGATGATCAGCGTTCGCGAAGTCTTCGCAGGACTTCAGATACAGTATCCAAGACATCTTCATCACGCAGATCGTCGAGGGATTCACCAGGACATTCGCGAACCCACAGTCGCTCATCTCCGCGCAGGTCTCCCGCAGGTCACCCTACAGACACAGTTTGCCAGGCCACTCACCACGCCGATCTTCACGCAGATCCACGCAGATCCCCGCGAAGGTCTCCACGAAGGTCTCCACGAAGGTCACCACGAAGTTCGCCCCACAAGTCTCCACACAGAGGTCTCCACAGTCTCCACGCAGGTCGCCACCCAGATTACCATCTGAGGAGTATCAACGTCCCTTACTCAGCACTCCTGTCACTGAGGATGATGGCGGCATCATCTTTTCGGACTCTGAAATACGCTACTGGATGGCTAATGGATTGGACTTGGCTTCACCATCTAAAGACGATAATCCGTCTCACACCTATCTTATGCGAGAAGATGATGTCGACACGCTCACTCTCCCCCCGATTGATCCCATCGCAGCGGTTCCACAGAACCTGGACGCAGCCTTCAAGACAGCCACTAAAGCCCAGGCGCCGCATCTACCACAGTTCAACGCCAAGAAGTTCTCCCATAACATGGATCCTTTCCTTAAAGCTCAGGACATCGACGAGAACTTCAAGGTCATCAGTGATGCCAAGGCCAAGTCTTACAAGATTGAGGACAGGAAGCTGGCTCAAGTGGAAACTATGACCAGACGGATGTTCTTCGGCCTCAACAGATCTCGGGCAGTCAACGAAACGCTCATCGCCAAGTTTCGAGACTCTACTGCGGAAGAAGATAGAATGATTTATTCGGCCCTCCTTATGCAGAAGAAGGACCAACAGTTCATGACAGACCACCTTTCATCCATCTCCGCAGCGCTGACACTGGCTCGTCGACAAGGTCTCCTCGCCTCCTGCAGTTGGAGTGAACAGTTTACCAAGTCACTCTACACAGCCCCGTGGTCAACTCCTTCCATCTTCGCTGGAGAAATCGACAAGGTTGCTAAGGAAGTTACCAAAGATTCAAGAGAAGTCCTAATGATCAAGTCCATAGACACTCTGGCCAGCGTCATCAGGCAGACATCCCAGCGCTACTCAGGCAGATCCAAGTTTCCTGGAATACAGAGGGCACGGGACAAGAAAGTGGGTAGCTCCAGAGGCGGAAAAGATTCTTTTCGCCGCCCTACCGGCAACTACAGAGCAAGATCCGGACGAGGCAGGGCACCCAGAGGCTCCAGGGATTATCGACGATGAAAGACGGGTTCGGAACGACTGGAGTCTTCCACCCCCAGCCGTTCCTGTACAACCTTCCCAAGTGGGTGGACGTCTACAACTACACTGGGAAAACTGGGGAATACTACAAGATCCATACGTATCCAACATCCTAAGACACGGATATCGCATTCAACTACAGGCCGCTCCACCGCTTACAGTCAACCCTCACAAGTTCGACTTCAAGACACATCAGATAGAGAAGTTACGAGAGGCAGTCTCATCTCTTCTAACCAAGCGGGCCATAGAAATCGTGGATCAAGTCAACATCACACCAGGTTTCTACTCCCCAGTTTTCCTGGTTCCAAAGAAAAACTCCAAAGAAAAGTTCCGACTCATCTACAATATGAGCACGTTCAACAGAGATTATCTACGCAGACCTCCCAAGTTCCGCATGATACATCTACCTCAACTAATCCACCTCGTCCGTCCGATGGACTACATGGCCAGCATAGATCTACAGGATGCCTACCTGCATATCCCTATACATCCCGACTCGAGAAAGTACCTCAGATTTACACTGGACGGGCTACATTACCAATGGAAGGTCCTGCCATTTGGAATATCATCGGCCCCCCTGGTTGTTTACAAGAGTGACGAAACCCATAGTCACATATCTACATCATCGAGGGCTACGCAGTGCATTCTACCTCGACGACGGGATTCAAGTAGATCAAGATCCAGAGCGTCTCAGACTACAGTTGAATTTCACCATCAATCTACTCACTCAGCTAGGATGGTTAGTGAATCTACTCAAGTCGGACCTAGAACCTACACAGGACCTGCAGTTTCTAGGCATCAGATTTCTCACAACGCAGAACCGTATCGTCGTGCCAGAGGACGGATGGCTCAAGATTCAACGGACAATCCCACAAGCCTTACTCTCTCCGTGGCCACTACGACATTGGCAGAGTCTGTTGGGTCTCCTCACGTCCGCACAAGACATGACAGCCAGAGGCAGACTACAGCTACGCCCGTTACAGGTCCTCATCAACGCTCATCTCGACGACCTAGAACCCTTCGGTCTCCCGAATTACCTCAGACCTCATCTACTATGGTGGACCCGGAGGTCGAATGTTTGCGAAGGCATCTATTTAGCAGAGCCGGAGTTCAAGACTCATCTATACGTGGACGCGTCACTCCAAGGTTGGGGAGCACATCTCGACAACAATGTGGCAGCCGGGATATGGAACCAGGAAGAGAAAAGTCTGCACATCAACATGCTGGAGATGAAAGCAGTCATCAACGCCATACTCCATTGGAGCACCATTCTACAGAATGCGCATCTCATGGTACACACAGACAACTCTACAGTGGCGTTTTACATAAACAAGCAAGGCTCAACAAGATCATTGAACCTACTGGATCTCTGCTTTCAACTGTTCGACCTAATCGACGATCTGAACATCCACGTAAGAGCATGTCACATTCCAGGAGCCAAGAATGTCTTAGCAGACGCACTCTCCCGTCCAACTCAACCATCGCCGACGGAATGGATGCTCCATCCAGAGATCTTCACACAGATCATCAAGGAAATAGGAGCTCCGTTGATAGACCTCTTCGCCACACGCTTCAACAATCAGCTAACAACATTCGTCTCTCCAGTCCCAGATCCACGAGCGTGGGCAACGGACGCTCTCAGCATATCCTGGGAAGGCCTAAACGCGTACGCGTTTCCACCGCCAGCGCTACTACCGAGGGTGTTACAGAAAATCAGCCAGACAAGGAACCTCCAACTGATTTTGGTCGCGCCCTACTGGCCAGCGAGAATGTGGTTCCCCATTCTCATACAAGAACTCGGACCACCAATACTGCAACTACCAGAGCGGTCGAATCTACTAGTACATCCTCACACAAAGCAGGCGCATGGCAACCCAAGGGCATTCCAACTACACGTGTGGACTGTATCAAGGCATGTTTAAACAAGAGAGGGTACTCCGCCAGAGCGGCGAAAGCAGTCACGCTTGCTTTACGCAATTCTACACGCAACTTGTACGACGACAAGTGGCGCAGCTTTGAGACCTACGCTGCTAGAAATGGATTTTCAGCTAGAAAAGCAACACATCCTCAAGTGGCGGACTATCTTTGTCACCTACGGCAAACAAAGCGACTAAAAGGGTCTACACTCTCAACATACCTAGCGGCATTGAGCTCAGTTATCACTATGAGGACGGGTGCCAAGCTAACGAAAGTACCAGAGTTACTGGCCTTGTTACGCTCTTATAAATTGGAGGACCAAAAACAGAGATTTCAAGCTCCGGCATGGGACCTCAATATCGTTCTCAGACATCTCACAAGTGACGTCTACGAACCATTAGAGACGACATCCTTCGAATTCTTGACACAGAAAACGCTGTTCCTGCTAGCCCTAGCAACAGCAGCCAGGATGTCGGAAATTCATGCTCTAGATTACGAGAGAACGCGCTTTGATGAAAATCAAAACACAGTGCATATGGGACTGCGATGGGATTTTATCGCTAAGAATCAACTGCCAGGTCAACCGGACAGACAATTCCACGTCCCAGCATTATCCTCCGTACTCGGACCACATGATACGCTTGACTTATCCTTGTGCCCAGTGAGAGCATTGAAAGTTTATCTACATCGATCCAGAATGAGGAGACGCAAGTTTAAACGACTTTTCGTCCCGATATCAACAGCGACACAGACGGAAGTCTCCCGCACTACGATATCAATCTGGATAAGAACTGTCATACTACGGGCCTACAAAGCAGCAGGACTTGATCCTCCAAGAGCCTCCAACCCACACGAAATTAGAGCTCTGGCGTCAACACTCGCTCTACATGGGAATTGCTCGCTTAACACGATCATGGAGGGCTGCTTCTGGAAATCTGACATGGTGTTTGCAAACCACTACTTGAGAGATATCGCCACCGAGGACGTCTCAGGCATTCACCATTTCGGCCCACTGGTTGTTGCACAACAGTTGACAGTTCCTCACAGAAGATGAGACGTAGTCTCGCTTTGTTATCACATGACTTATCAAGCCTACACTCAGCAGAGTTCTGCTTAAGTCTCAATGCACGTCTCAAGACTAGCATAAGTGATAAACCCAGTACTTGTAAGTTTACTCGTACAGCAAGGGTCGCGTCTCCACATGGAGTCGCTAAATCCACATTGAAATGTTAACAGAAGAAGGACCAAAAGTTAACAATTGTGGTCCCCCCATCAAAAGGCAGCTGAAAGAACACGATTGCTAACAGCAGCAGAGTTTAGCAGTAAATACAGTGCCATTATGAAGTTCCCGTAGGGGGGTATATATTGACGTAAAATTCACTAAATAAATCCTAAAGTGCTTTTCCCACCACCTTTTCCGTCGGATTCTACAAGCAATTAAGCATGAGTCAGGATAAGGAAAAATATGTAATTTTCTGAATAAAATTGATATTTTATACTTATCCTGACTCATGAGGTAAGCCCTCCCAACCTCCCCACT